TGTATATATGTATATATATGTATATTACAAGTTAACGGCTTATTTGAGGATAGCCAAATCAAACATTGCTGCTGTTTTAAATCAAATTCAGTCTCAAACATGTTTCTATTTTTGTCAGTTTTGCGTTACCATTTTCTTTCTGACTATAAGGTGCACCAGATAATAAGGCGCAATATCATTGAACAGGTCTGTTTTCATACATAAGGCACATCGGATTATAAGGCGCATTAAGCGACACAAAACAGTCAAATAAGTCAAACTTTTTTCAACTCGTTCACAAAAACCACATAAAATTGGTTCTCGGTCAGTAAGAACAACCAGAGTTAATACATGAGGCGCACCTGATGATAAGGCTCACTGTCCATGTTTGAGAAAATAAAAGGATTTCAAATGCGCCTTATAGTCTGAAAAATACCATATTTGATTATTTATATATACACTGTATACATTAAATTGTCACCTGTTTCACATAGGGATATTCTGGGAGAAATATCATAAACTCTCTTTCTGTTTACTAATAATAATACAATCTAAAATACTAAAATGACAAAAACGTAAACATTTTTGAGATTAAAGTTGCTTTAGCAATCCACTTTGGTTTAGGCAATACACGAATAGTGTCAGTCCGGTCAGAATTAAGCTCTAATTCTCTAAACTCAGATGATTCAAAGAGCTATCTACGACAGATAAGATAATAATTGTTTATATCTGTTTCACTATGATAAATAATGCAATCCAAAAATAAAGAATCTTTAGGTTTTTCCACAAGAACTACGGCTTATCAGAAGCAAATTTCAAAGTTAATAAAATTGAAAAAGGTCAGAAAGCATACGCGGTTTAAAAGCCTGATGCGTTTCTCGTGAACAGAATTAAATCTGTTTGACTTAAATTGAAGACAGCCAGGTTGTGAAAGTTTCGTGATGACCTCTAGTGGTTCTCTGTACTACCAAACAAGTCTTCCTGAGTTATGAGAGGGTGTCACCGCTTTTTTTTTTCTTCTTCCTTTATACGAATGCAGATTTGTAGAGTCTAGAAAGAAAGTTGGGAATTTTGCACTTCCTCTGTCAGACCCTTGCTGCTTGTTAACTCGGTAACACACTGCAAACACAGGTAATTCCTGCGTCCGCCGGACTTTCCTCCTATTCCTTTAATCTTTCTATTTTTTACTGCACGTGAATTTTCAACCTTCACTGTAAACAGGTAAACGGGTCTGGCAGGTGTTTTTGAAAAGTGCCTGCGTGACGTGGCGGAAGCTCAGAACCTTAAGGAAAAAATGTGCTGACGCAAGCATTATTGGAAGAGCACAGACAATGTCGCTCTGCAACATATGAGCAGACAGGCTAATCAATCTTAGCAGAAACTCATTGTTACACTGAAAAAACTCTCACCTCTTGGATTTTCTTTCTCTAAAAATAACTTTACCCAGAATTCAAAGAATTTTAAGGCAAGTTGTAAAGGAAGTAATGACACTGGTCAAATGAATGACTCATGCAATTGAACGATTAGCAATAGTGAAATTGTTTCTACAAACTACGTCACAAGAGGAAAAAGTTACGGCATTTACCCTTTCTCATACACAGAGCTGGGCTGGAAGTTCCTTTAATTGCATCACTCATTTCCTTCTGGACTCACACATGTATGAACATGCACTTTTGTAGCTATTTTCTGTAAGGTAGAAAAAAAACAGGTAAAATTCCCGTCAAGCGGCTATAAGAGGAGAGAGGATGGAGGCACAGAGATACACCTTCGCTGAGACTCTTCCTCTGCAGAAGCACACAGGTGAGTCTGAGCACAGGTGCGCTCTCATTCATGTGAGATGGTTTGGGTTTTAGAACCACTGATTGAAGAACATTTGTGTTCTCAGCCAGTTTTCTTGTATCCTCAAGAGGTTTAACCAGATATGTTGTCCTGTCAGCTTTACCACCAGGTAACAATGGTCCGGATGCTGCTTGGCTCCTTCATCTACCTCTTCCTCCTAATCCACCTCTTCCTCGGATGTCTGTGCAAGATGACAGAGGGTCGAACTCTGCATGTGGACGGCTGCTCTGCCAACGTTCACATACATGAACTACGCAGACATTACTCCGACATACGACACCACGCGGTGAGTTGAACTCGAACCTCACCGATCGGTGCAGGTGCACACTCAGAATGATGTGCAGACGCTTCGTCCCGTTCAAACACCTGCAAAGGTCAAGAACTCTTCACAGCAATCATGATTACTCTGTCGACATACCAGACAATAAACAAGTCTAATATGGAATTTTGTGATTTAAATAGCTATCAGGAGACAATGAGATCGATGTGAAACTTCTGGAAGAATCTCTGATCAAAGACGTTCAGGTGAGGCCCGTTGCTTGCGTTCTGATCTATATACCGTATTTTTCGGACTATATATCACACTTAAAATCCTTTAATTTTCTCAAACATCAAAAGTGAGCTTTATAATCCGGTGCACTTTATGTATTAATTCTGGTTGTGCTTGCTGACCTCGAACAGATTTTATGTGGTACACGGTAGGCCTGTCACGATAACAAATCTTGCTGGGCGATAAACTGTCTCAGTAATTATTGCAATAAACGATAATATTGTTTGAAATTTGACAATAATTAGCAATTATTGTCAAATTTAAGAAGAAATGTTGGTTAATTTGTTTTGAGTGTAGTATATTTTTTGACCACCGACGGCAGTATAAGATTGTTTGAACCGCAGGATGGATAGTGAGGGAGCAGCATGTCTCTTTAAGAAAAATGGGAGGGAGGCCCCTTGACGTGACATGGGCTGTCTCTCATTTCTTTCTTCAGTTCTCAGAATGGCGGACGCTCGGTGTGGTTTGAGCTCTTTAGCATAGCATTTGTCACACAAAGCTTTTAATAAAAAAATCAAAAAAGTTCTCTGCTTGTTTTTGCAGAGAAAAACTACTTTTTACACAAAGGCACGGGTTTCAACTGTGAATTTTGGCGCTTCGATATTTTTCCCCGAGGTCGGCCTGTTAGCTTAGCTCATAGCTTAGCTTCTCAGCTTAGCTGCTTTTACCGATCCAAAAACGCGATTTTAGACGGGTAAAACAGATTTTAAAGAGAAAAGAGAAAGGGAGGGATCAGTGAAGAGCACCGGAGTTGAGCCTTTTGTCATCCAGTGTCTTCAGTAGAAAGAGAGATGAAGAAACGATAAAGCCGATAAATGAAAACGAGGATGATCATTTTCATTTGTCGTGCAATTAATTGATTTATTGTTTATTGCGACAGGCCTAGTACACGGTGCTCAAAAAAATCTGTCACAATTAACTTGTTTCGCTTAATGCGCCTTATAGTCCAAAAAATATGGTACTTCTGTAGTCACTTGCATCAACACATTGTGAATGACATTTGCACGTTTCCACCAGGAGGGTCAGACATGCTGCTTCTTGCGTCTCCTGCTGCGCTTCTACGTTGAAAGAGTGTTCAACAACTTCCCATCCTCCCAGCCGCACCACCAGCGCTGCTCCAGCGCCCTGGCGAACGCTTTTGTCACCATCAGAAGAGACATGCACAAATGTGTAAGTCGGCTGTCTGGTTTTATTGTTCTTCACTTATAAGATGCGCTTGTGTGAGAAGTTGTTCTAACGCCTGTTGTGATCTGCACAGCACTGCCACTGTGGAGAAGAAACCCAGAGAACAATCGACTCAGTCCTTAACAAGTTTGACAAGGTAAACGGCACAGGTTTTATTAAGTGAACACTAAATAATGAGCTTATTTTTAATACGTAGCCGTACAGTAGATTAATAAATATGAACATCTAGTTTTGTTGAGGAAAATTAGGATAGAGTCTTAAAGGTCAATAAAAAATATGGAAAGGAACTCCTTCCTGTCAGTAAAGATAACCAGCACTGACCTTTCTTTTAAAATTTTTAGTTAGCGTGAAAAAAACTACAAAAAAAAATGAATTAAAGTGAAAATTTAAAGTAAAACAAGTGCTGTTTTTATAAATGTTTTTCAGACTTATCTTTTTTTTTCTTTCCAAAACAGCATTCTGGTGTAAAAGAACATCACATAAACTAATATTAAATCTCAACGCATTGGCATGACGTCGTTATCATTGCTCTGTCACATGAACTCCGACTGCGTGTTACTGCCGCGGCTGCAAATATATCGGCCCATCTGATCAGCATGCTCAGTCAGCGTAAAACTTTACTGAACTCCTGGTGCACTGAAACACTCGCAGCCTCAGCATCATCAGCAGGACTTAAGTTTGTAAACCGATCGATGCTGGAACGCAAATAGCGGGGTGTGGGGGTGTCTGTGGATCCTCCCCCAGAAAATTTTAGATAAATTAGATGCAATTTCCTGCATTTTCATGTATTTTAACGGATTGTTAAACATCTACGTTACATTTGTAAACTCTCCACTTATGTCAGGCATCCTACCCTCTCCCCCTTACTTGATGGTTCTGAGCAGACTCTTCTTCGCTGAATTCAATGTCCGACTCCACATGTGAAACTTCCAGCTGCCTCCTCCAGCTGTTCATGGTGGCTGCTTGTGGACTCCTGCCTGATTAGCTCATCACTCAACCTCACCACTCTTTTAGGGGCGGAGATTTTTTTTAAGGGTAGAGGCGAAAATGCTTACTTGAAGGGGCAGCTCGTATGTGATATCAAGAAGCTCGAAAGTGGCTGTTGTGTTTAAAACGAGTGTTTATATAATTATATTCAGTTTACACATCAAATATAAGTTTTATTCCTTCAAGGCAGTCACATTTGTTTATAACTTTATTATTAGTAAGCCTGAGAGTTACCAGATCCAAGCAAACAGTTACTGGAACGCACCCTGTCAAAATAAGACTTCCCAGATCTTGTCCCCGCAGGATCTGGATCAAATTAAGACCTGATCAGCATACAGTGTAATGATCTATGCCCAGTACATTCCTGTAGAAACACAAAAATAGCTGATGTAATGTTCTTTTGCACAATTATGTCATTTTTAACAAAAAATCGTGTTATAGGCCTGAAAATTATTTTTTAAAACAGGTTCAGATCGATGAAGACTTCTGCTGTTTTCTTCTTCCTTTGTGGTTTATGACTTCATTTATTGTTTTGTCAGTGATGTATCGATGCTCATTATTAAATCTATTCGCCTTCTTCTTTCCACTTCCCCCGGCAGATTCAGATTCATCCAGCAGCACACAAAGCAGTGGGAGAACTGAACACGGTTCTAGACTGGCTGGACGGACTGGGACAAAAAGCATGAAACTGGAGAACACCGACTTGTTCATTTCCCCTTTGTAGCATTTTGCATTTCCCTGCTGGTACTTGAATTAAGTTAAAATTGTATTGTTTTTTTGTCCGACACATGTACAGTTTGAAATGTATTTATAACAAACATTGTTTTTAGATGTAAATACAGTTTAGAAATAAAAAAAATAATGGTTTTATATTGTGAGATTGGAGTAAATGAGTTTTTTTCATTCAAACAATGTTTGAGATGTGACAAAGAAAAAAAATGTGGTCTCACTTGTAAATGTCTTCAAGGCTCAATGTGACTTATCTGTTTAAATAAAGGTTGAGTGAGTACCAAAAAAACAAAGAGATGTTTGGAAACATCACCATCTAGTGGGGCTGTATGATCTGCTGTGTTTCAAGAAAAAACTACAACCCCTGCAAAAATGATGGAATCACCACTTTTAGAGAATGGTCTAACCATTGTTTCATTACGTACACCAAAAAATAAAAACACACAAACATGCTACAGAATTATCATATAAACAATAAAAAACTAGATAAATTGCATTTCCTGCGAAAATGCAATGTGAATGCTTATTGCTGAAGAACTTGCTGAGAAAAAGCTAAAATTAGTTAAAAACATGCTGAAAATGTAGCTGAAATGGAAGAACAAGCCCAAGTTAGCAGAAGAAAGCAGAAAGAATTTGCTGAATTAGGTTTAAATAAGCAGAAATGTGCACAGAATCTAGTAAATTAGCTTGTAAGGTGACAATTGGACATGGAGGCCTCCACCCGTTTAATGATGGATGGTTTCTCTTCTCAAAGATGGCTTCCTTCACGCCCCTCTCCATCCAACGTTCCTCTCTATCAAGGATGTGAACATCTTCGTCCCTGAGTGACCGCTGTCCTGTAGACTCAGCCCTCTGTGAATAGCAAGCGGCCATCAGGGCACTAACGATCGATCATTAAGGCGTTCACACCAGCTGTTTAGTCCGCTTTAATCGAACTCTAGTCCGTTTACCTAGAAAGTCCGGTTCGTTTGGGGAGGTGTGAATGTGCAATCGAATTCTGATGTGGAACAAAAAAGCGAACTCTGGTCTGCCTAAAAATCTAGGTCTCAGTTCGGTTGAAGTGAACTCGAATGCAGTGTGAATGCAAGCGGACCGCTGTCTGCTTGCATTCACACTGCATTCAAATCCAAATACAGGAAGTGGACTACAACACAGGGCAAACAAACACGCATTTCTCTTACCTCATACGGAGCCGTCAGCCGCCTCGTGTGAAAAACAACATTCTCCATGGTCTTCTGTCTCAATCTTCCACTCAACCTAAGTCTATTGTTGAAAAATGACAAAACAGAACTCCTAAAAACGCAAAAATTTGACGCCACTCCATTTTTGTTTTTATTTTCAGAAGAAGAAGAAGAAGTGTCTTCTTCAGAGGTTTTCGTGTTGTTTCCTTCAGTAGTTCTTGGTGCAGCGCCACCACAGGCGAGGGGGGGAACAGATTGGCTCGAATGACTCGGCGCAGCGCGAATGTGAAAATGTTACATATGTTCTGAATATTGGTCGCCAATCGAACCGAGTCTACCGGACTATCAATTGTGAAATCGACCTAAGCTGATGATGATCGGTCCGTTCGGGCTGTCAGCAACAAACTGGTTGATCCACTCTGAGATGGGGCTATTTATAAGATTGAGTTTAGTGCAGCTCCTCAGACTGACAAAGTCTTTTAGATAACGTTTCAACAATTTAAAAAATAAAATAAAAAAATTTAATCCGTCCAGAGGACCTGACTTAACTTTGTTAGATAAAATCATTGATTGTTGCTTTTCTTATTTTTATACTCTCAGTTATACTCACGGCACAGCTGGACTCAAGTCAATGCATCACAGCGGACAATGCATTCCTCGTTCCATTTTGGTCTACAGTCCTCTGCATATTCAACAGATACTCCCTTTTTCCATCTCGCCCAGAAGCTGTTCGCTAAGAACTGCACTTTACACCATTGTTTCCTGAGATCTTCTTTGAGGAACTGTCCAGGCGGTGGTGAAAGTGATCTGACAATAGGAATAATGATGTTGTTCAACTAAATAAAGCCATCAGTTAATAAGAGCTGGTCTGTCGTCAGTTACAAACAAATGATTTCTCATTAATATGGAGAAACTGACATCATCCAGTCTGATTTGTTCCACTTCAAACTTGTCCTAATTGCCGACAAAACCAAAGGGATGCTTTTTTCTCAATCAGGAAGTTGGTCCCAGCAGTTCTTCCTTTGATTTTATCCTCAAATGGTGCTCCTATTGAGTTTGTCGATTCCTACAAATATTTGGGTATCTTGGTCGATTTGCAGCTCTCTCTTCAGCTCCACGTGGAAAACTTGTTAAGGAAACTGAAAGTTTTTTTTTTTTTTTTTCAGAAATAGATCCTGTTTAACTCTGAACACTAGGAAACGCCTTGTAACTGTGACTTTCCTTCCCTTCATCGACTACGGTGACGTTATTTACATGAACGCTCCTACAAGCACCCTGCAGATGTTGGACGCTGTCTATCACGGTGCACTAAGATTCATAACTGGCTGTAACTACTGTACCCATCACTGCACCCTGTATTCACTGGTTAACTGGTCATCATTAACTTCAGATGATCTGTTTTGATACTGTATGCTCCACACTGGTTGGTCGTCATTATCTGCATCGTTTTTATGTCTATATTCTGATTTAACTCATTTTGTATTTTGCTTGGTGAGTTACCTGTTGTTTTGTCTGTACAGCACTTTGGTTGGCCTTGTCGCTGTTTTAAGTGCTTTATAAATAAAGTGGTATGGTATGGTAACTTCACGCAGACTCTCTCACTGGTGCATTTTCATCTTTAAATCACTTCTTGGTCTGCTGCCTTCATACATCTCCTCCTACATGTCTCTGCGTGAGTGCAGTTACAGCGTGCGCTCTCAGGACATTGTTACTTGCAGTGTTCCCTCAGTGAGAACTGAACTAGGCAAAAGGGCCTTCTCCTACTCCGCTCCCGTTTCCTGGAATATCTTACAAAAAGATCTGAAGCTCTCGACCATGACCCCTCTAAGTGGCTTTAAACATCTGTTAAGTTCCTGGGGAAAAACCAACACAAACATGTTCCTGCTTTTAGTTTTCTACATCGCCTTATAATCTAGCTGGGGTTTTTTTTGTTACATTTTCTTTTAAAAACCATGTTATTTTCACTTGTTATTCTCAATTTGTATGCATCATTTATGATTGTCCACTGCCGTCATCACCCTTTGTTAAAACCATGTCTCTTGTAAATGAGTCCCGTTAACATGTATATATAAAGGTTGATTGAAAATCTTTGGAGTTCACGTTTATCTCCAGCTGGCCAGCAGGTGGCAGCAGAGCACCTGAAGAATGATTTTATTTTCCTGATTGATAATTAGTTGTACAAGAACTTTATTTGACTGAGTCAGACCTTGTTACTGTTTATGCTGTTCAACGTTCTTTGACTGGGATGCATTGACCTGAGTCCAGCTGTGCCGCGAGTACAACTGAGAGTATAAAAATAAAGATGAGGTATTTACTTGAAAATTATATTTTTGTAAACACTGAAGTAATAATAAAAAAAGATAAAACAATATCAGATACTCAAGAAAGAATCAGATAAAACTGCACATTGGTTTCATTCACAACCCTCCAGCTGTCTGTGGGTTGATAAACTTAATTTTAAATGAAAGTGGAAATGGATCAGGTCAGTCTGCTCATTTAAAAAAATAGTTGTTGCACAGAAGTTGCAGAACTGCACTGCAGAGGTGCAAAATTCATTCTGAGGCTTTAAGTACAACCTAGGAATTCAAAAATGTTAAAATACTTTTCTCTGAAAAATAAAACTGGAGCCTGCTCATGACTGATTTACTAGTTATAGAAATATTAATGATGCAATACCGTGATAATTTTTGTTCAACTGAGCAGAAAAATCTACTTTTGCTGTTTGGTTTCATAAACTGAAGAAAGTAAAATTATTGTAATTTTATCTGTTACTTTTTTTTAAATTTGTTTTACTGTTGTTGTTTTTTTTACTCTACTTTAAATACTCATTTGGTTCTCTAACAGGTAGAATAAATAAATATTTGGAGTAATAACAGACGTCTTTAACTTTTTCTTTTAGTTAAGATTTTTTATAATAAATCTGTAAGCTCATATAACTGAAACAATATAATTTAAAGCAGAATTTGAAGAACCACTTTTCACTGCAATAAAGCTGCAAGTCTTTGGGAGTTTTGCGTCGACCAACTTTGCTCATTCTTTGTGAAACAGCTCAAACTCAGTCAGACTGGATGGAGGTCGTCTGTGAACAGCAGCTGTCGAGTCCTGCCATCAATCCTCAGTGAGATTTTGGTCTGACATGGATATGCTGGATCTGAACATCACATCGCTCTGGTTGGATGTTGTCCAGCTGGAAGGTCAGATTTTCTTCTGGGATTATCCTTTATTTAGATCCATCCACCTTCCCATCACCATCATCACCTTTATTAAAGACACAAGCGGGTCCATATAAAAATGCAAATAATATATATATATATATATATATATATATATTTAAAAAAAACAATAAAAATAAAAAAGAACCCAAATGTAAGTCACAGATTTAAATAAGGGCTGAAACGCCAGTGGTCCCACATTATGGACTTAAACCTGACTGAGCTCTATGTAACATCCGTTAGCATCAGGATGATGTTATTTGTAGAATCACGTAATCTCCACATAAATCTGTACTTAAGGTTACGTAACGCAGCATAAAAACTGGAGACAACAACAAATAACTGACTTGCACTAGTCCATCTCAGCATCCTCATTCCATCATTATATGCCACTTTGAATTTCTGTACACAGCTTTGCTTGTATCATCTCCACAAGTGGGCAGTATACAAAGGAGTGCAGTATGCTTTAAAAAGAGGCACTTTCACTGATGCAGATCACATCCCCGGACTTGCGTACAAGCATGTTGGCTTGTGCACACATTAAACGACGCTGTCTGTAAATGT